ACATTTTACCTAGCTATGATGCCTATGAACCACATCAATGACCAACAGGGCATGATAACCTTCAGGGTGCAACAGTGACACACATACCTTGATGCTTGATGGTAACCAAGAGCTCTTTAACTGGACTTAACACCTGCTCAACAAGAGGGATACCATGCCTGGTACTAGAAACATAACTACTCAGTACTAGTGAAGTAATTGTTATTGGAGAAGAAACAAACTACAACCACTAATTTACTAAATCCCTAACAACAATCTATTAACATGTGTACTTATATCACAGTTAATTGTAGCCATCAACCATCATCAAGAAATCTTCTCTTTGCAACAACCAGACACTACTACAGAATACCACAAGCAATCAAAATGCAGAGTTGTGGACTCCAGTCCCAAGAATACATCTACGAAATTCAACAAGGATGACACCAATGAGCATGCCAAACTAGACAGAGCAAAGTCCACCAGGCCATAGGCCTATACAAAGAACTGTAGGCAACTGAGGAGAGCTGGGAGTCAGGGAGGTGGCTTCCCAGGAGGAGCACACCAGTTGGTTGTCCAGCACCAAACAGTCAGCCATGAAAACATGCACACAGGTATCACTTAAGGACTGAACAGGTTATAATTAGGAATATATGTGTGTATGTATGTCATGTATGTGTACATATATATATTTACGATTAGTGAAAAGAGAGGCTACGAATTTGAAGAATGGGGAAGGGCATGTGAGAGGACTTGGAGGGAGTAAAGGGAGGGGAGAAATGTTGTAATTATATTACCATTTCAAAAATTAAACAACAAAAATCTCCCAGAAATAGCTTCCATGCTATATACACTAAGGTGTACAACAAATTAACAGCTCACTTTACAAATAACAACCCAGAGTACCTTATATTGACATAAGATATTTTATCATTGTCAAAGAGTAGTCACACACAAAATTCTTCCTATCCCCAAATATTCTACAGAGGAGCCAAAACTTACTGTTAAGATGTACCTTTAAGTACATAAACTGACAGCACAGCACACAACAAAGTAAGGTACATGTGTATGTACAAAGTGCTCTAGAACTTTTATAATACAGGATACTGTATTCCTGTCCTGTATCACTACAGTTGTCACAAAAAAGACCATTTAGGATTTCATCTGTACAAACCCACACTGGATGCCATAGCGCACACACACTTGTAATTCCATACTTCTTTGAAGGCAGAGGCAAAAAGATGGTAAGATTTGAGGGCAGCCTGGGTTTTACAGCAAGACCCCCTTTCTCAAAACAACAAAACATATGATAGGAAGCTACACAAAACACAGAAATAAGAATAACTGATTTGCTAGCCCCTACTATGGATCATAAGAATCTGTCTCATTCCTGTCTAGTGATAGCCTGAAACAAAATGGAAAAAGGAAAAATTCCTCAGGGTGAGCCTGTCCTATCAAAGTCAAGTCTCCAGCATTTCTAAGTTCACCAAGTTGCCCGGTTGTTCAGAGCAAGTTCCAGAACAGGCCCTAAAACTACACAAGAGAAATCCTGTCTCAAAACACAAAAAACAAACAAAACAAAAAACCTATAATCAAAAGTTTTCATGTTAAGCTAAATATGTTCTTGTAGTTAAGTCAACATTCTATATTTTGAATCTTAAGACTTCAAAGATTTTAAAGTACTAGAACAATTAGCACCTATTTACTTTTCACAGCTAGAACTGATAAGTTTCCCAAGCCTTAACCTTCCAGGTTGTGTATTTTCCTAGAAATGTGGAAGTGACCCCTTATCCTTAAGTGCACTATAAACACTGATGCAAATGTTTCTTACCTTATCTTTCTCATGTGGAAGCAGTGACACTGGAGGTAAACAGGAGAGGGACTCACAACCCTCTTTCCCATCAGCACTGGCTGCCTTAGTGTTGAGTCGGTAGAGAGGTCCATCTTTAAGGAGTCTGCCATGGCCAACGGCACGCTTGATCGCCAATCTTAACTGCTGGTGAAAGCCAGAGGCAGCATTGCCTCCATAGACAGAAGACACATCCTTCTGGCTTTTCAAAAAGCGTTCAATACTTTTCAAAGTTGAGCCACCAGACTCTGCCAAGCCCTCAAATGCCCGTTTGAGTAATTTATTCCAATCCACACTTTGTTTAGTATCCAATTTTCCATGGTTTCGAGGTTTAGGAAGTGCTATTCGCCCAGGATTATCAGGATCTTTATAGGAATTGAGACCTTTATTTGAGACTTTTAAAATTGTCCCATCTTTAACACTCAACTCCAACTGCTCTAGAACAGTTTTCCGATCCAAGCCATGGGATGAAGACACTGCATTGCAAATCCTTTCTTCTGAAGGTCGCTGTTTCTGCTTCTTTACTTTTTTGATAGCCTCCAAAATCCATTCCGTGTATAACGGGTTAGCGAGTTTTACCATGGTGAGGGATTCCGTATATCCATAGAGTCGCTACCCCTTATCCTGATGCTGAGTAAGTCTTACACCATGGAAAACAAGATTCTCGGAGGGTGGGAACCAGTTAACCATAGCATACAAGATTTCTGGCCTGAGTCTTTCCTGCTTTCATAAAACAGAACTGCAACCTACTTTTACCTTAGAAATCAAAACAACTGTTTTTTTTGAAGTATCTTCAAACTTCTCAATAGCACCACACATTGGCCTCTACTCCTCATATACTCTTGCACTCCAAACATCTCACGCACAGCTTCAAGCATCTTAAGCCTGAAAAACAATTAAAATAATGTCAGTTTTTTTAATCAAGGCCCACTCTATAAATAAGTTATCAATTGAAACATCCTAGTCTTTTTTTAAAGCAATGTGTTTATCAAGCACTCTTAAGAGTTTAAATATAGTACTATCAATATTCCAAAGCAATCACTGGAAACCCTGGGATAAAAACAGAAGGGAAAAATGATACGGGTAGTTAAGGTAAAATGTGGAAATAAAATGAGAATTTTCAGGAATGACCTTAAGTTATAACTAAGCTGACAAGTGCTAGTTTGCCCTCCAGAATCTGTGCTCACCAGTCTATGGGTTCAACTCTTCCTCCATTTTTCCCCAAGAAAATATTCAGTACTTCAACAAGTGTCTGGATTAGTAGAAAGAACCCTGCAATGAAAGCAAGAGTAAATCATTTTCCAGAATTCTGGTGGACAAAAAACAGACAATAAAATATGCTGAGGACAACTTGACTAGTTCGTATACTAAAGGAAATAAGCATGTCTCACGTATCACAATAGGGACATTAATGTGAACAAAAACAATGAAGATAGCTTTGTGTGAAAGTGTTTAAAGAACCTCACTAACACCCATATACTGAATGGAGTAACAACTGTCAAAGTGCTTATAAACAATGTACAGATTAACTAGAAATAAGGTCTAGGATCATTGGGCTCAAATGCACATATTACATATGAAATGTATAGTATAGAAAATAAGTATCGCCTGTATGTGTGTTTATAGAAAAGTGAATCTGATAAAGATGTGAATTTGTGATTACTATCTCATAGTGAACATTAGTGAATAAAATAAAAACAAATATACTACTTGTTTGGGTCAAGAATCCGGCAGATACACATTTTTTTAAGTCACTAAAATAATGAATTCTAAAGTTTCCCTCCAAAACTAAGTTTAACTTTGAACTTCTCTTGTTCTGGAAGGCATGCACAATATAAGTACAGCTAGAAAAAGGAGGGACATGTCCTCCAGCAAGTATTCTTAATAGTGATGTTAAAAGCAAAAGGAAAACTGATACATGTTGGGGAAGAAACAGTCCGGGAAGAAAGGAAAGGGTGCAACGAAACATTAACACCTGGGGCCAAAGTTTACTTCAAACTTAACTAAAAGAAGTCCCGGCAAGAGGGAGAAGCCTCACCTTCGTGAAGGTCTTAAGAGACCAAACAACAGGATTACTACTCCAGCAAAGTTTTTTATATAGACATTAACCTTAAAACAATGAGAATTAGGATCTAAGAAGCTGGGAACGTCCTATATGGTGGAACTTTCAGGTGAAAGAATGAATGACAGTCACTCATTGTCTTTCCGGCAGGAAGTTTTCCCAATCTCCAGGTCTGCAGAAAACACCGCGCTGAGGATCTGAACCCTAACTCTCAGAAAGTCCACTAGCTGCTAGAGAGAAGGACCAGCCGGCTCCAAAAGCCCTTCCCGCTCCATCCCCCGGCCCGAAACACATCTTCGCGCCCTCGATTTAAAGCCCAGGGAACTTTAAAAACTTGAAGCGCCAAAGCCTAGGAGTTTGCCAACGGACTGCTCCGCCGTTCCCATTCTATGGAAACACAGCCCGAAGAGTAAGTTAACAATGAAATCACGTGGAGTTCGGAGCACCGTAAGCCCTGTCCCCAGCTCCAAGCTCTCGGCTCCAAGGGGCCCGGCCCAGAAGAGCAGTGAGGGGACACCGGCTGTGACGGAGCCTGACAGGTCGGGCAGGTCCGGCCCAAAGTCGCAGAGCTCTTGACAGGCAAGCCCGCCGCCACCCGTCCCGGCCAGGGGCTGACAGTCCGACAGACACAACACCACACGTGCAGCCTGCTCCACACCACAGCACCCACCAGGCTGTCACCCCGCTCGACTCAGCCCCGCTCGGGTCTCCGCGCACCCGGCACAGCCCGGAGTGCGCGCCCGGCGCCGGGAGCGGCGGGCGGGCGGGCGAGCGGGCGGACGGCGGGCGCGCCCCCGAGGGAGAGCGGGCGAGCCCGCACAGCAGCCCCAGGCTCCGCGGCCTGGCCGCTCGCCGCCCGTAAGCGCCGGCTCCCGGAGTGGGTCGCCGGCGGAGCGACGGCGGCGAGCCGTAGGTGCGGACCGGGCGGGCGGGCAGGCGGGCGAGCGGGCGGCGCGGGTTGGGCGGCGGAGTCGAACGCGAGGGGGCGGCCGCGGCGCCCAGCCCGAGGCCTGGCGCAGAGCAGCGGGAGGCGGCGCAGGCCGCGACGGGGCCTGCAGCAGCCCGCCGACCCCGCGAGGCGCCGAACGAGACTCCGGGGCGGCTTAGCCTCGGGCTCGGCAGCTGGGAGCGACCGGGGGAGGCCCCTCGGCTACTTACCTGGGGGGAAGACAGCCGGGATCCCGGGGGCCCGGGCCGGACCGCGGAGATGCCCCAAACTGACACGGCCGCCATCTTGGAGACAGTGAGCTCCGACTGGGGGGAGGGGAGGCCAGGCGGCGGAACAGCCGCGGGGGGAGGGGAGCGTCGCGAGGGAACGGCTGCCTGGGGAGGGAGCTGGAACAGCCTGCGCGGGAGGGAGGGGAGGAGCGGAGGGGCGCGGGAGGAGGGCAGCCGGTATCTGGAAGAGCGGGCTGGTCGCCGGCAAGGTCCGGGGGGCGGGGCGGCCGAGGAGGGAAGAGCCGCTGGGCGGGTCACGTGGAGCGGGTACAAAAGGCCGACGCCAGAATGGGAGCGGGAGTTGGCCGGGCTGGAGGCCAACAGCTGGGGGCGTCCCTCCTCCTCCTCCTGCTTTCACCGGCGGGTGGCGAGGCCAGAAGCGGAAGGTGCACCGGGATTACATAGCCCGGGAAACTTGGGGCAGGCGCTTGGGTGGGGCGGCGCCGAAACCGGTAGTTAGGCGGCTCGGAGCACCCCGCGCGCGAGGCGTCGGTTCCAATTCGCGGTCACTCGCTCTCGCCCGCCCGCCCGGGCCCGCACCGCGTCTGCCTCCGTGGTGCGAGTCCGTTCCCCACACACACACCCCGGCGAGGCGCCGGGCGTCCGCGGTGGCTCCCGGAGCCCCGCTGCTGGGCGGGTAGACATGGGTGGCGTGCGTGCCCTCGTTTTTCTGCCCACTCTGCACTCCAACCGTTCATCCCCGTGGCTCGAATAGAGTCTGGCCAGCCTGGGTAGAGGGCATGAAGTTGGACACCCTGTCAGCTAGCAAGATGCCCACCCAGGCACACTGCTTGTCCCTCTGCCCGGAAGTTGCAAGACCTCCTTGAGAACATCTTCATAAGATACAACACCCACTGAGCTCGGTTTCTAGGACTTGGACAAGGTCACATAGCTATTATGACACATTTACATATAGAGCCTGGGTCTCTCATCCTTTCGTGCCCTGTGCAGATTTTGCTTGTCCACACTGATGGGTGAACCTCAAAATGACACTTGGCCAGGTCCTCTACTGGCTACCTGTTTCTTTGTCTTTGATCCACTAAAAACTCTTAGGAGATTGTGTCATGCACAATCTTCACTGTAAAGACTCATTAAATGCTCAACAGTTTGATAAGTATATTGCTGCTACCCGACTTGTATCTGCTGTATGTCCCCGTTCCTAGATTCCTCCCCAAAGGAGGAAAAAAAATGCTGCTACTTGCTGCTACACCTTTGGTGTTCATTCTCTTTTCTGAACTAATGCATTTAGTTTATTCAGTTTACACTTAAGGTGTAGTCCTAAACATTTTAATATAGTCCCAGTCCCTTTTGGCATCTCCAAAGTCTAACCAACATGACGTTCAAAGGTTAGGGCTCACTTTTAGTGAATGAGCATTTGTAAGCCGCTGAGATAAATTTACATCGCCTCATGTCTCCTCTCAAAACCTCATTCTCTGCTTTCAGATCTGTGTAGCCCTTCTCCACCCTAATTCTTGACCAGACTGTTGAGCACTGTAGGCTGTTAAAGCCATTTCATATTAGCAATAGTCTGGGAAACTCACAGGAAGGGCCTGCAGCTCCCTATACTAACATTAACACTGATAACAAGTAGTTGTGGGGAGATTCATTTGAATCACCCTTAATCGCTTATCTCCAAGCCCTAGTTTACATTCCATTACTATTAGAAGAGAAATTCGGAGACAGAAGCTCAAGATTCGGTGGGTACCTATCTCAAGGGAATATGGTGGAGGTCGATGAAACAAGACCCCTAGTACCAACTTCTGGCCTCCCAGAATGGACACACAGACAATTATTTTTAGATATATGTTACTAAATGGCATAGTCAGAGATCTTTTTTTTTTTTTTTTTTTTTGCAGCAAAGAGAAATCAGTGTTTGCAAGTGAAAAAGACGCCTAAAAGGACAGAATTTATTTTCACTTAATTCTTAGGTTTTGTTGGAAATTTTTGTTTTGCTTTTTTTGTTGTTGTTTTTGGGGGTTTTTTTGTTTTTGGTTTTTTTTTTTTTTAGACAATTCAGACAGCTGAAGGCTATTTCCTCTGTCAACCAAAAAAACCGCAGCTCACATCTTAAAGAGTCGCAGAGAGTTTATTCTGTCCATTCTGAGTGACTGTGGCCTGGGACATAATTTCCTCATCTGTAACTTCATTAAAACCAAGATTAGTATTATTTTATCACATAAATTTACAGGTGGAATATTAAATATCATGGACAATTTTTAAAATCCTAAAGTATTTAAGAGACAAAAAGTGAGAGAAGTGTAGTTACTCTGTGCTCAATTGTCAGTGGTGTTGAAGATGATTATCACCCAGCATTTTTGAAGTCTCTCGGATACTGTAAGAAAGTTCACCATTGAGCTTCCTGTTCTAGGGGTGAATTAGAAGTGCCTGGATGCAGTTCTGATCTGCTCATCAGAATGGAGTCTTTGATATGATGACTTTCTCCCTTTTAGTAGATGAAGTCATCTGGCTTTCTTTATCCTCAGATGAAGATTCTGTGATTTTTAATTTTAGTCATCATAGTTAAAAGTTCCTTATAAGATTTGTGTTATTTATCTAGTAGATCAGGTTGTATACACAGATTTAAATATTTTTCCATTAAAGCAATCACTATTTTACAATCACTTATTTAATTAGGTAGACATATTCAAAATAGGTATAACTCTCCAAACAGAATTGTTTTTATAGTTAAAGTAATAACTGACTGTCTAAAAAGAAAAGGCTTTTGCAATTAGATCTTAAAATTGTCTACCATATTTAATATTTCTATCTGGTATATTTCTAAGTGATAAAACAATACTAACCTCAGTTTTCGTGAAGCTACAAATGAAGATATTGTACACTTTCATTTGATCATGCCTTATTGTTATGACTGTTTGCTTGCTCCAAACCCCTAACATATTCAGAACTAGTGTTTAAAAGATTCAAGAGTTGTCATTGTACATGAATGTGTGTTTACACATGTATTATATATTGTCTATATGTGGAAAAAATTAGTTTGTCAATTAAACTTGAACTCCACGTACTCTAGCTAGAGAGACCCAAAGATCTGTGTTAACCTTTTTTATCCAAGTTATACAAAAGACATCAAACTCTAATAACAACATTCTTGATGTTTTATACCATATGCTCTGATGTTTCTTGTATCTAAAATCTAAAACATTTTAGATACAAGAATTATTAGCTGAGATTTTAAAAATGAATTAAACAGTATTTGTGTTTTATCAGTTAACGGGGGATACTACAGTGACTACCTTCAAACTTCTATTTCTGAGCATCTAAATACAAGTGAGATAGCTCATAGAGTTGAAACAACTATAAATACAGGGGAAACATGCAGTCAATCTAGTTTTTAAATTAGACAGTTCTTCATTGTTTTAGACATGCCCTTCATCTGTTACCTTCACTCCGTTAGGCCACACTGTGCTCCTGATTACATAAATTTCAATCTAGGATTACTGTTATGTGTCATATGTAAATGTTATGTCAGATAAAGAGGGTACAAGAAAAGTAATTCATGCCTGGGTCATGGGGCTAGTAGTTTTGATAGAATCAGGAGTTTCTAGCTATTCATCTCTGAAAGCAGCTGTCCCTGTCCACTACTCTGCCTCAGCGACATCAGATCCTAGGAATGAGCCTCCCTAGCTGCGAGGGACCTTATAATACTTACTACATGGCAAAATGTGATCCTCGGTCAGCAGAGAGACTTATGAATGGGGACCCCTGAACAGAAGCTGTGTCTGCAGAGATTAGCTGGCTAGTGAGAACTGCAGCACAGTGGACAGGTTGGAATGTTCAGCAGGTCCAGAGACTAATTGCCTAACCTGGACTAGCTTTAGCCCTGGAACAGCCATTCCTTGCCTACCTCTGTGTCAAAGGTGAATAATAGACAAAGCCTTTTGCAGTGTATTAACTTGAAAGCTAAGAATGTCACCAGATAGCATCTTGCTGTGTCCGCCTTGTGATGTACCCACCAAACGTGCCTGGATTTGTGACTTTCTGTGTTCTGTAACACTCTAAAACTTCACTAAACTCCTTCCACGTTGTAACATGGAATTTGGGGCAACTTGAATCTGTGCTCCTGGGCCACAGTCACTCAGAATGACTCCAGAATAAACTATCTCTGGAGTTTGTGCTCGTCTGTGCCAGCCAGGGAACATGTGTCCAGGTTGGTTTTATGTGTTACTTTTAGGGCTGGCTTTCTCAGATTCAGCCCTAAGATCACCATCTTCTCCCACTGGCCCTCAGGGTTTCCATGCCTGTTTACTCAACTGTGTGTTCCAGATACTGGTGCCTTCCCTAGGAGTGCCACTATGCTCCCTGGCCTCAGAACAGGGTTTGTTTGTTCAGTCCTCTATTAGGCCTGAGGCCATTGCATGTTGTGGGGTGTTTCCCGTGATTCTTGGATGGGAGGGGAAAAGTGCCTTGTTGGTGTCTTTATGATCAAGTACTCATAAAATTCCTAAGCTAAGGCTTGGCAATGTCAGGGAAAAAGCAGAATTAGACATTTGAGGAATGACAGGAAGCATAGGCCAAATGATAATGAATCAAAACAGAAACCAAAATGCCTTCAAATGTCAAAAAAAATAAAAAAAACAAAAACCACATCGCCTTTAGCAACCAGAAAACAAACAAAACTGAACTAAATGTCTTAAAATGCTTTCAAAGCAAGCAAGCTAGAGACCATAAGTGAAATAGTTTGAAAGCAGACCAAATAGGTAGGTATCAGATTAGGTCCTTTATCAACCATCTCGGAATAAATAAACAAATGAACCATCTGCCAAGCCATAGGAGACCCAGAACCCAGGAAAACTCACCAGCAATCCACCTGAAGACTAAGAGATGACCTGGACTCAGTGGGTCCTTGCAGGTACCTGGCTCATCCAGTGAAGACGGGGTCATTCTCTGAACCCCACATCGTGGCTCTATAATTGTCAATAAAATGCCCACAGCTCTCATCTTAAACAGAATGAGGGTTAGTTTATTCTGAAGCTGTTGTAAATGACCAGCTTGGGGACACAGATTTAGGTTGCCCTAAATTGCATGTTCCAGCGTGGAAGCAGTTTCATGAAGTTTGAGAGTTTTACAGAACAAAGAAAGTCATAATCAAGGTGAGTTGAAAATACATGAGTGGACACTTTAGTGAAGTGGTTACAGCAAGATGGGGGAAGCTTTTCAATAGGCCCCAGATTCTATCTAATGACATTCTTAGCTTTTGGGTTAGTGGTAGTCTGCTAACTAAGATTTCAAAAGATTTGTATCTCTTAGTCACAGGAAGCTGGGAGGCAGGAATGGCTGTTCCTGGGCTAAAGCCAGCTCCTGTCGAGATAAGGTAATTATTAGCCTTTGGACCAGCAGCATTCCTTTTCTCCATAGCACTAAGGTTCTAATGAATCAGTTCATCTCTGTAGACACAGCTTCTCTCCAGGAGTTCTTACTCACACCTTAATTTATTTGCTCTAGAAATCCTGGCTTTTCAGCTATTCTTGGTAACCATGTTTTGTGCATTCCAGGTCTGTTCAAACATCAAAAAGACTAAGTTTATACTGTTTTCATTGAAAATATTTTTGGTACATTTACATGTAATATAGTAACTGGTAAAATTTAGACATACACTTACTATGTTTTATTTTATTCAGGTTAATCCACCTTGTATCTTTTCTTCTATCTTGCCTCCTTTTGAGTTAATTAAAATATTTCAATTATGGGAGCTAGAAGCATGGCTCAGCAATGAAGAGTGCTTGTTGTGCTTTCAAAGGACTTGAGTTCAACTCACAGCCTTCGTCATGTGGTTGATGACTGCCTGTAACTCCAGTTCCAGGGGATCCAACATCATCTTCTGGATTCTGAAGGCATCAGACACACATGACATACATTCACACAAACAGAAACACATGCACTTAAAAAAGTAAATAAATTGGATAACCAATTTGGGAGCTCTTCTCTGGGAAGGCTTGTTCTCCCACATGAAGCATTCCTTAGTTACCTTTAGTGTTGTGTCTAGTGTTAGGGCCATGAGATATTTCCCTTCCATGTTAGCATGTCTACTGGTGTCAAGTTGTTCAGGTCACATTTAAGCAGCATGTTGATGAGCTTTCATGAGTGTAGTTCCTCAGACATTTCTAGGAGACAGTCTCCCAACAAACTTCCTGTCCTTCTACTGCTTAAAATCTCTCTATACCTTCTGCTTTGAAACCCAAAGCCCAGTCCTAGTGATACACCTCCTCCAACAAGGTCACGCCTACTCCAACAAGGCCACACCTCCTAATCCTTCCCATGAAGTTCCAGCAACTGGGGACCAAGTATTCAAATATATGAGCCCTTGTAGGTTCTCCTCTAAAATCTATGATTTCTCCAGGCCTTGATTGTTGACAGGTTTCCAGTACCAGGCATGGTTTCCCTCTTGTTGAGCAGGTTTTAAAAAGAGGTATGAAAGTCACTTATTGTACCCTTATGTATATAATGCCATGCCAGTCATTTTTGTAGTTCATGGGCATAATAGCTCAGTAGGACTATGGGTTGTGTCCCTCCCTTGGAAGCTTACATGGTGCCTTCTGGTACCATGAAAGCTAATCCTTGGGAGAAGGCTAACTAAGGTCAGGTCAGATCCTGCTTTGATCCTGTGGGTCCTGTGTCCAAAATGCATGGTGTCTATAGCAATAGAGATTTATCTTCAACCTCTAGGAGGCAGCCAAAGGCAAGAACAATCGCCTGCATGTTTTAGGGTAGGGACCACTTGGACAACCCTGACCAACAACTCAAAAGGGGCTTCTCATGCCTGGTATTAGTTTATGGCTCTTGAGGGAAATATTGTCAGCCCAGATTGTAAATTTTTATTCAAATGATATTTATGTAAAATATAGTGTGTTATATATAGTATATAATGCATATATACATATATATATAGTTATAAGTAGTTGTAAGCAGAAAATAAAGTGATTCCTTGTGACTTTTTCATACACCTTTACTATTATTTTGCCCCCGTCCTTCTGCTTTCTGTAGGGAGCAGGAAACCCAAAGTGAGTGAAGACCTGAGTATGCTGTTGACAATGACATGGCTATTTCAAGGTCCATACAGCCTCAGACTGACAGAGGAATGGCAAGGCCTTCCTCAGGTATGGATGTTGACAGTGTGTGTAGAAAATAGCTACCGTAGCTTTCTCTGTTAGTACTCAGGCATCTGTACTGGCCTGCCCTTGGGGTTCTGACAGGATACACCCTCAGCTGCAGCCACTAAGAGCAGCACCTGTGCACATTCACTATGTTCCCTTTTAAAAGGGCCCTGTCCACCTCCCATCCTGCTCTCTCTCTCTCTCTCTCTCTCTCTCTCTCTCTCTCTCTCTCTCTCTCTCTCTCTCTCTCTCTCTCTCTCTCTGCCCCCCCTCTCCTGATGCTCCTGTCTCCAGAGGCCAGCTTACCCCCTTCCTTTCCCCCTTTTATGACCCCTTTCCCCAATTAAAAAAAACCCTCTGCTTGAACCCAGCATGGCATCTTTCTCTCGAACACCACTTATCTTAAATTACAACATTCTCCCTACTGGTATCATGGCCTGAAGACTGATCTTCCACAGAGATAGTTTTCTACTACTGTGATAAAAAACAAAACAAAACAAAACCACTGACAGAAACCCACCTGGGAAGGACAGAGTTATTGGCTTACACGCCTCCATTTCCACACCATGGTACATAGTCAAGGGAGGTCAGCACAGGAACTCAAGAGAGCAAGGACAAATGCTGCTTACTGGTTGGTCCTTGTGGTTTGCTCTGCCCTCTTTATTATACTTCCCAGGACCACCTGCCAAAGGATGGCACCACCCACAGTGGGTTAACCCCACCCCGCATCAGTCATTAATCAAGAAGATGTCTAAGGGTAATCTGATGGCATTTTTGCAATTGAGTTTCCTCTTCCCAGGTAATTTATCTCATCTCAAGTTGACAAAAAAAAGCAAAACTAGCACAAGTAATGATATAGACTACTTGAATAGCATTGTCAAAAATCTGATATAATTATAGAACATTATACCTAACCAAAGAAAACAGCATGTTACCCATCAGTGCACAAAAAAATTCAACAAGATGGAATATATTGTATCTCATAAGATATTTCAATAAATTTAAGAGGTTGAGATTATATGAAATATTATCTCTGTCCAAAATGAAATTAGATATTAACTGAAAAGATAATTTCTAGAAATTATCTTGAATGATCATCAAATATTTACAAATCAAACAGCACACAAAGTAAGAAGTGACAACAGAGATAATATGTTCAATGAAAATGAAAAGGAACACGTTTATAAAATATAGCTAAATCTGTGTATCGAAGAAAAATTTAGAGTGTTAGTGGTGGCTGAGGGTGTAGCTCTGTGGTAAAATTCCAGTATCCCACTTTATCCCAGAGAAGAAAAATAAATGTCTCAATAAATTAGGAATTCACTTTAAAACATTTAAAAAGGAAATATAATTCCCATGGTAAGCAGAAGAGAGGAAATTATAGATCACAGCAGTTACTTAGATGGAAAGCAGAAAAACGGGGAAAATTCAATGAGTCTGAGGACTTAGAAATTACTAATAAAATTGGCTAAATTCTAAGAAGATTGACCATGAAAACAAAACTAAGAGAAATAAGTATCACTATGAACAATGAAGGGGCGCTGTAAATCCCACACATATTAAATAGCAGTAAAGCTGAACACAGTGGCATGCTTATGTGTTCCCAGGAACTCTGGAAGCTGGGGCAGGAAAACCATCTGAACTCGTAAGTTCCAGGCCATCGCTGATGACAGAGCGGGGTCACCAATCAATAAGGAAAGCAAGACAAGTAAAAAGGGCCAGGGATGTAGTTCAGCCAATAGAGCGCTTGCTAGCATTCACAACCCACTTTATAAGATTGCCACAGCTTGGGACACACTTGTGACCCCAGCACTGCAGGGGAGCCAGGGGAATCTGAAGTTCGACATTGTCTTTGACTACATACTAAGTCCAAGACCAGCTCAGGCTACACAAGACTAAGGGAAGAAATGGGAGATGCTGAGGGGGAGAGAAAGAGAATGAGACTAAGGATAAGGAATATAATGAATAACTTCATGCCAATATGTAACTTTAAAACTTATTTAGAAAAACTTGCTTGAAAAACATAATATACTAATAGCCTCGATAAGGAACAGGCTAGTTGTTGTTGTAGTCGTTTGTTTTTTGCAGTAATGAGAATTGACCCAAGGGTCTGATACAAACAAGGCAAGTGCTTGACCACTAATCTATATCCTCAGCTCCTCTTTAACTTTTTATTTTGACACAGAGTCTTGCTAAGTTACCCAAGCTGGCCTTGAACTTGCTCTGTCATCCAGAAAGGCCAGGGATTCTGTGTGCCTCCCAACCACCATGCCTGGAATCTTATGCTATCAAAGTAATAAAAATTTATAGTTAGAAACCTTCCACTTGCCTTGTGTGGTGGGATACAACCATAAATAAATAATCTCAATGTTTGGGATCTTGAGGCAAGAGGACCTTGAGTTAAAGCTGTCTTGGGCTACAAAGGAGGTGAGGACAAGAATTTGATAAGCTGACACATATTATAGCATGATGTGTAAAGAGAAGCTTTTTCTTTGAGAAAAGCCTTCCCGCCTGCCTGGTTCTAGATCCGCATCAGTCCCAAATAAACACACAGGAGGCTATATTAATTAGGAAGCTGTTGGCCTTGCTTGTTTCTTACTGGCTAGCTCTGACTTAAGTAATTACCCCATAATTGTTAATCTAAGTATTTCTCTTGCCGGAGAATAGTTCCAGGCTTCCTACCCCATGGCGGTTACATCTCGAACTCTCTTGTGTTTCTCCTTCCCAGAATCCTCTAGGACTCCTAGTCCCACCCATCTAGATTCCTATTGGCTCAACAGTGCTTTATTGACAAAAGACTTCCCCAACAATGATGGGCCAGGAAGACATTGTGTTACGTGAAATAAGACAATAAAAACACTGGGCACTGGTGGCGTATGCCTTTAATCCCAGCACTCGGGGGTGGGCAGAGGCAGGTGGATATCTGTGAGTTTGAGACCAGCCTGGTCTACAAAAGTTAGTTCCAGGACAGCCTCTAAATCCACAGAGAAACCCTGTCTCAAAAAACAAAAAACAAAGAAACAAAAAAGACAATAGAAACATACAGACACTGATTTCAATTACGTGAAATTGGTAGTGCCGTCTAGCTCAGAAGCAGAAGGTATAATGGTGGTCGCCAGCAGCAGGGGAAGAGGAGGAGGAAGAAATGAGAAGTTGTTTAATAGTTACAGAAATCTGACATTGCAAGATGATAGCATTGGTTACACAACAATATTAGTTAACCTCAAAGCACTGAATTGCATAACTAAAGTTGAAGTAGGCAAGTATAAAAAATAGTTTGGCAACTTGATACACACACACACACACACACATTCAAACTAACTTCCCTGAAGCAAAGCAATCAGAAACCTGTTAGCAACCTAGGACCTCACCTGCATTGAGCTGCATGCCCACCTCACTCCCTTTAATAGCCATCGAACTTAGAGTCCACCAAACACACACCCGTCACATTTGGGGACTACTGACAATGGGACAATCTGGCCTGGACTGGTTTTAGGCTCACCCACAATAAGACAAAACTCTGTGTGTTCCCAAGTGAACCTATAGGAACGACCCCTATTTACCACCCTATGCCTATGCATAACTGGTTATTCACATGGTTAAAGTCAGGTGCTTTATGGGAAGAGACATTTGTAAAGAGCAAAGACTGTCAATCAAATGGAGAACCCTCATGCAATGCCCGTCTTAGTATCTTTTCTGTTGCTTTGAGAAAACACCCTGACCAAGGACACTAGGGGAATGAAGGGCTTGCTTTGATGCCCAATTCAGGGTTACAGTTCATCCCAACAGAGAAACCTCAGTGACAGGAGTCCGAAAGAGCTGGTCACGGTGTCCATAGTCAGTAGCAGAAAGAATTCCGTGCTTATGTTTAGATTTATTTATTTGTTTATTATTTATCTATCTACTTATTTTTGAGGCAGAGTCCTTCTACCTAGGCCCAGCTGTACTGGAACTTACTATGTAGATCAGGCTGGCTTGGAATTCAGAGTGCCTCCTGCCTCTGCCTCCTGCGTGGTGAAGGCATGTACCACTCACTACGCCTTGCTCAAAATATTGTTTTCTCCATTCTGTATAAAATAAAATACAAGTAGGTGTGATGATGCAACTTACACTGAGCATGTCTTCCCACCACAATTGAGATAATGAAGAAATCTCAAACATGCTCAGAGGCCCATCTCCAAGGACCTAGGTAACTCCAGATTCATCAGGTTGACAATTAACACCATCACAAATCCACCCCTTGTCAACCTGGCAACAAAACGCATCACTTCTATCTTTTGTGTCCCCAAAGTCTAATGTGTATATCAAGCAAAATACAGTCCAACTTCAAAGGGTCACACAGTCATCAACAATCCAAAAAGCTCTCAACTGTAAGCTCCTATAAAAATAAAAATAAAAAAAACAAGTTACATAGGGCTCAAGAGTTCAGAGCCCTTGTTATTCTTGCAGAGGTTCCCAGCATGGTGTTAGCATAGCGGGTAACAACCATATGTAACTACATTTCGAGGGGCTTCTGATGGCCTCTTCTGCCACTGGATGCACAAGGGGCAGAGACTCACATGCAGGCAAAACACCCACCCACATAAACTAAAAGTCAGTCTTCTAAAAAGTTACGTACTTCGAACGTATATCACAGAGTAAACATTTCTTTTCTAAAATGGAAGAATTAGGCAATATCAGGGAACAATCACATCAGACCAAGCTGAAATCCAACAGAGAAAATACTGACTCTTTCTGCTCCATGTCCAGGATCTGGAGTTTATAATGTAGACAACTGTCTCCAGAAGGCTTGGGTTCCCTGACTCCTTCCGCTCTGCTGCCCTCAGCACACACGAGTTCCCTCCTCAGAACGCTTCTATTCTATTCTTTCAGCTATCCTCAGCCCTCCCGTGGTTCAGGCATCGTAGTTGAGACTCCTAATTCAGTACTTCCCAAATACCCTCCGGAGGGCCTCTACAGAGACTCTCCCCCACATTGCCTGACATCAGCTGTCTTAGTTGGGGTTTCTTTTGCTGTGACAAAACACCGTGACCAAAGCAATTTGAGGAGGAAAGGGCGTATTTGGTTTACACTTCCACAGCCATGTCCATCATCAAAGGAAGTCAGGACAGGAACTCAAACAGGTCAGGATCCTGGAGGCCAGAGCTGATGCAGAGGCCATGGAGGAGTGCTGCTTACTGGCTTGCTCCTCATGACTTGCTCAGCCTGCTTTCTTAGAGAATTCAGGACCATCAGCCTAGGGATGGCATCACCCACAAAGGACTGGGCCCTCCAACCTCAATCACAGGAAAATGTCCTACAGGTTTGCCTACAGTCTGATCTTATGAAGGTATTTTCTTCATTGAGGTTCCTGCCTCTCAGATGACTTAACATAAAACTATCCAACACATCAGGTGATTTCCATGAGCCCCTCAACCTTGCATTCACTATGCCTTCAAAACCAACAGAACATGGAAGATGCTGCCAAGCTGTGCTTCCAAGTAGAAAGGAGTCTGTCCCCATTCCCCTCTGTGGACCACAGCTGCATTTCTTCTGTGGGCTGACCCTGGAGAAACACTCTCCTAGCTGCCTCCTTCGGTCAAGGTTTTCCTCCTTTAAATGAATTTGGAGCATCACAAGATGGTGTCTCCAAAGAGTAGGAATTTGCCCACAGGATACTTTGCCCGTTTACCAATTGGGGGCAGATCTGGTTACCAATTATAGCTCCTTTTTCGGCATGAGCCTGAGGTCCACATTTCCCTCAGTATTTTGTATTTCTAAGCTCCTGTCAGAATGGCCTATGAAACTCTGTTCACAGCATTCAATGATTTTTCTAACCCAAAGTTCTAAACTCTTCTACCTTCTTCCTATAAGCCAGTCCAAAGGCCTATACATCATTTGGTCATTCTTATAATGCCAACCTCACTTTGTGGCACAGTGTAGTGTCTGTTAGTGAACAGTGCTCATGTCTTACATGTTATCACAGAGTTCTCAACCTGTGAGTCTCAACCCCTTTGGGGGGGAAGGAGGGGATCAAACGAACTTTTCACTTTAAAGACAGGTGTGTGTATGGTAAGTTTCCTAAATATTTTATGTTGATTAAAAAGAGAGGGATTCTGAAACAATATTCTATTAGGATAAGCTATTTATTCATTTGTTTAACACAGGATGTCTTGTAGCTAAGCAGGTTAGCAAATAGCCTTGAACTTTCTATGCTGTCAAGGCTAGCCCTGAATTCCTGATCCTCCTGCCTCTCCTCCTGGGTGTTAGGATTATTTATAGTTGTACCACCACACCTGGCTTATTATATCATGACTAAATTTATTTTAGATATGTTTATTTTCTGCATACGACTGTTTGTCTGCATGTATGTGTGTGTACCATATGTATGTCTGGTGCCAGAGGAGTTCAGAAAAGTGTGTAGGATCCTTTAGCTATTAGTGACTCCCAAACTAATATTTCTAGCCCTATGCTTAGCCAGAGGATCTAAGAGTCTAGGTGTGAAGAATGAATTGCTAATTGGATATTGGCTGTCTCAGCCCTGGGTTGGCAGTGCTGTGGCATATTTGCGAGTATCTCTGTGAAGAGATACCCCCAAATATGTCTCCTGGCACAAAAGGAATGATATTCTTGTAGTTACAGTTTCCTCTAGATTGGACTGTGTGCTCTTGGGAAGGGTAATGACTTGATTGTCTTAAAAGGTCTTTGCTTGGCAGAAGCTGTGAACCTATCCGTTCTGTACCCAGTTGGGAGGTAAGGTTCAGGAGGCTCTGAAGGTCTTTGCTTGCCCTGTGCATATCTCTATACACAAAATATGGGAACATTAAGTATAAAATAAAATCCATTACCAAATGGCTCACATGTACCAGGCTGGTATAAAGATGAATGCCAACCAAAAATTAACCAAGTTGCTTCCTAAATATTACTTTCTATACTTCACTTACACGCTAGACACCTTTTGGTAAGAATAGGGAACAGCCAGGGGGCTCTGAGCCCATGATTTTGTACGCAAAAGCCAAGGCTATTTAGGAGGCCATTTAAGACTTTCCATCTATGCCAGGTTGTTTTAGGGTTTCTATTGCTGTAAAGAGACGCCATGATTGCTGGGCGGTGGTGGCGCACACCTTTAATCCCAGCACTCGGGAGACAGAGGCAGGCAGATCTCTGTGAGTTCCAGGCCAGGCTGGACCGACAGCCTCCAAAACAACACAGAGAAACCCTGTCTCGTAACCCCCCCCCCCCCAAAAAAAAGAGAGAGAGACACCATGATCACAGCAATTGGGATGGCTGGCTTAGAGTTCCAGAGGCTCAGACCTTTATCATCATGGCTAGGAGCATAGCAGACATATGCTGGCTAAATCTTGATTAGAAGGCAACAGGAAGTCAACTGAGACGCTGGGTGGTTTCCTCAGAATAGGAAACCTCAAAGCCCGCCCCCACAGTGACACACTTCCTCTAACAAAACCATACCCCCTCCTACAAAGCCACACCTCCTAATAGTGTCACTCCCTATAAGATTATGGGGGGGCAACTACATTCAAACTACCACACATGCCTGTAGTGATATTGTGTTTATTATCTAACAAATAAAGTTTGCCTGAGGATCAGAGTGCAAAGCTAGGCACACTAGTTAGCCACAGAGGCCAGGCAGTGGTGGCTCACACCTTTCTTTAATCCCAGTACTTGGAAGAAAGAGGCAGATGGATCTCTGTTAGTTCAAGGCCACCCTGGGCTACATGAGATTGATACAGTCTGAAAGAGAAACAAAGCTCACACAAAGGTGAGCACTGCACTTGGAGTGACACTCCTTTAGTCCCAGCACTAAGGAGGTGGACACAGGAGCAATATGGATGGGTGGAGAGAGGAATGTGAGGCAGGAGGAGACAAGGGAGATGCAATCTGAGTAGTACAGTCTGAGGAACTGTGCCTGCCTCTGCCTCCCAAGTGCTGGGATTAAAGGTGTGCACAACCACCCAGGCAAGACTCTCTTTATTATGTGTCAAATATTAATAACAGTGATAGAAACAAGAGCTCTGACCTGTTAGAAATGAGACTGTCCGTGGGACAAAAGTGAAGAATACCATTAATCCCAGCACTCAGAGGCTGTGGCAGGCGAATCTCTGTGAATTCAAGTCCAGCCTGGTCTACAGAGCAAGTTCCAGGACAGCCAGAGCTACACAGAGAAACCCTGCCTTGAAACAACAACAACAAAAAAAAGGTTGACTTACACGGGCCTTGTAGTGTTGTTTGAATGAGAATGGCCCCTTTAAGCTCATGTATTTAAATACTTGGTCCCCAGTTGGTAGAACTATTTGGGAAGGATTAGGAGATGTGGTCTTGTTGGAGAAGGTGGTTACTGGGGGTGGGTTTTGAAGTTTCAAAAGCCCATGCCATTCCCAGTTAGCGCTATCTCTCTCTGCCTCATGCTTGACTCAATACATAAGCTCTCAGCTACTGCCCGCTTGCCTTGCTTCTTGCCGCGATGGATATGGACTCTAATAATCTGTAACCGAGAGCCCCAGGTTAAATGTTTTATTTTGTAAGTTGCCTTGGACATGGTGTTTTGTCATGACAATAGAAAAGCAACTGAGATCAAAGTTGACACCGGTTGTTGTGAATTGCTGTGACAGACGTGGCCATGCTGTTTTTCACTGAGGAATGTGGAAGAATTTTAGATTTTCTGTAAGCAGGACTTAATGGGCCATCCTAGTAGGAGCATGAAAGACAATGGTGCTGAGAGTCTCGTGAACTAGCATAAAGGGGAGGTTTTAGAGGGTAACAGTATTAATAATGTCATGAAAGACCATTCTTGTGATAGTTTAGCAAAGAGTGTGGCTACTTTTTTTTAATCCTAAGAAACAGCCTGAGATTTTTAGCTCACTAATCCTCCAATTTTGATGTAACTCCTTCTATTTGATGGGTTCTTGGCACTGTTACACCAAGTTCCTTAGACCCCAAAAAATACCACCAAGGAGCCTACACAGTGCTGCAAATGCATAAGGTTTGATGTTTCAAGCCTCGGCAGGGACCTTGTCCAGCACTGGCACAGCAAGTACAAATATCTATCGTCCAAATTTCTCAGATTCTCCAATTCTCATTTTTTTCTCTGTATGAGTCATTTTTTATTATAGCTATATATTCTTTTTTTTTTTTTTTTTTTTTTTGGTTTTTCGAGACAGGGTTTCTCTGTAGCTTTGGAGGCTGTCCTGGAACTCACTTTGTAGACCAGGCTGGCCTCAAACTCACAGAGATCCGCCTGCCTCTGCCTCCCAAGTGCTGGGATTAAAGGCGTGTGCCACCAACGCCGGCTATAGCTATATATTCTGATCTTCTTGTTTCTTTTGTTAATTCTGTAACAATGATGATATTTGAGGCTGGGGTGCGTCCTGGTTCTGCATGCTAGGCAAGAAGTCTAGACTGAGCTACAACCCTAGCCCTATCGGCCTCCCTTTATCTGAGTCTGTGTTGCTATGTCCAAATAATAATAATAATTATTATTATAATGTTTTATTTGTTTTTAAGATAGGGTTTCACTGTGTAGCACAGGCTAGCCTCAGGTGGACAGAGAAGCTCTGGACGGGAAAGCTGACTTGCTACAACACCTGATAAGGCGATCCACATATCAACCCCACTGGCGTCTGTCGCTTCCAGACTGCAGTTGAACTGACTTGCAGGTGGAGTTTTCCATCCTATAAAATCCCAAGACCCCATACCACATACACAGTCTCACTTCCAGGGAGAGACTGTGGCGTCAGCTGTTCTGATTTAAGAAAAATTCTCTTTCGGGAGACGCCCATTGTTCTTTCCATGTGGCCTGGGGCAGGCTGGCCCTCTGGCTCTGACTGGGAAAATAAGATCACAGCAGCCCAAATTCATATCTCGTCTTAGAACTGGCCTGCGGACATTTTTTCGGAAGTTATTCTGCTACTCTGACAGAACCCTGCACTGTGATTCAGCTACTGTACCAGATTCGTGTACAGTCTCGGCTTCCTTTTGCCAAGACCAAGCCACCTTTCCCCTGTATCTTTATTTTTCTCTATTTTGTGCCTACCTGCCTGGGTCATAGATACCAACTCCCTCTATACTCACACTAACCTACCTACCCAAAAAGTCTTTTTAAAGAAAAGGGCACAACAATCCACATTTGATCTTCAAAATAAAGGGTTCCACAAGGACTTGCAATGCCGTGATGGGGAACGGGCTCACTTTAACACAGGGCTGACTTCACCTTTAGCAGAAAACTGGGGGACTTCATCAAAATAAAGGCAGCCTTCTTGATAATGATATAAAAAAGAATGCAAAAGATGACAGGCGGGGGTGGCGCAGGCCTTCAGTCCCAGGACTCGGGAGGCAGAGGCAGGCGATCTCTGTGAGTTTGAGGCCAGCCTGATTTACAAGAACTAGTTCCAGGACAGCCTCCAAAGCCACAGAGAAACCCTGTCTTGAAAAACAAAAACAAAAAAAGCAAAAGACTCGTGACTTCACTACCATCTTAGCTAACCTCGGCACCCATAAAACTTCACGGTGCTCTGGGGATCACCTCGCCCCTTTTATATTAGACTAAGGAAAAACTACCAGACCTCCAACGTGGGTTTGGCTTTTGTCTTGTTTCTTTCTTTCTTTCTGTTTTTTTTTTTTTTTAACATTGATACAGTTTTTACATGACACAGTTACTGACTTGTAAGGAGAACCTAAGTTTTCCTGGCCACAAGCCTCCAGCACTGGTGTACTAACACAGGGATCTGACCCTATGAGAGTCACAAATCCCAACAGAGACTCAAAGCATAAATGATAGATAAGCTGCGGCCAGTGAGGAGCTGCCTCAGTGGACAGTGCCAGTCCCCATGCCTGCTGTGCTGCGTCCCCATGCCTGACGCCTCTGCCTAGGGGCACCAGGCCGCTTTCCCTCTGACTGAGATAAAATATTTTATCTCTCACTGAGATAAAATTGTCCTTTGCTTCACACGTGTCTGGTTTTGTTTCTGCCCAACCTAACAGTGTTTCCTTTTAAGTTTCCCTTTCATAGTGAAAACTATAAATATAATCACAAGGTACAATAATGTTCAAATAATGGTTTATTAAAATATATCTCATGTGTGATTATGTACATATAGACTCTTTGTCCATTTGTGATTACGGTTTGTTCATAGTAAAAGTAAAAATTAAAATAGTAATAATGATAGTACTCACTTTGGCAGTATACATACTAAAACTGGAACACCACGGAGAAGATTAGCATGGCCCTTGTGCAAGAATGACACGCAAATTTGTGAAGCTTTCCATGTTTTTTGTTACTGTACGCGGTGTGAACTCATGAGAACTGTACTTACGTGGCCTTAACCCTCACAGTATAAATTGTCTGAGACTCCGAGTAAAGTTGGCTATTGAATGAAAATGATGATGATGATGGCTGGTGGTCCTAAATCTTTCTCTGGAGCAATTAATGCAAGTTTTTTTCTGTTTAAATCTGCTTCTAAGGACAGGACATACAGAATCATCATTTCCAGTTCTACAACAAGGTCCTTATCGCTTGAGGGCATGTATTGAGAAATGATCCAGGACACATTTTTATTGGTGAACCGCCCTCCCTTTAAATAAGAATAGCTCATACCTGTGCCTTTGAATGTGCTTTGTGTGTGTGTGTGTGTGTGTGTGTGTGTGTGTATTTAAATGTTTTAAAGACACTTTGACCACTATGGCCCATGTAAGAACAAATAAATGAGCCAGCACAGGATGAGACTTCTTTCCTTGTCTACTTCACCGCTGTGGTGTCTATCCACGTCTGAGAAAAGCATGCTTAAGTACTTCTTAGTATTTAATATTTTCTTAAATGCTGAGGCCAGGTCTAAAAGCTGTTCTTGTCAACTACAGAGCGCTGTCTTTTTGGAAGATCACATCCCACAAATACAATGCATTTTTTCACACCCTAGCCACCCATGTTCCCTCCCACTTTTCACCTTGGCCACTTGTTTTTTTCTTATCCTTATTCTTACACTTTCACCCTGCCCTTTAACACTTTGGACCCAGCTCCCTTAAATGGCCCGTGAAAGCTCAGCCAGTGGCTCTCACCCTACAGCAGCCCCATTAGTTCCTGATACAGCCACAGGAAGACCTTTTGGATGCTGCAGAAGAGGCTCTGGTTGTAAGGAACTTTCAGCCCTTTTACCCCAGACACAAGTACAATGCCTTACATTAGCCCTCTGTTTCCCCCCAGCTCCCTTCCTCCAAGGCACTGCAGGCCCTGTTGCTTCTGATAACCTACTTTTAGGGAACTAGCTAAGGATCCATAGTCCTCTCAAGCTTTGTATAACAACTGAGCCATTCCCCTCCTCCACCTTCCTGGGACAATCTCTCCCTCTCCCTCTGTATCCAAATCATCTGTTTCCAGCACTCTAACAATTACTTTTCAAAAGTTCCTCTCGGTCCTAGAAGAGTCTGGGAGCACATGACAACAATCATAGGATCCACTGATGAAGTCAAAACTCTCCACCAACCCAACCTCTGTCCCCTTGGGTCCTGGGGACAAAGTCTAGACACCTCCCCATCAACTTCTTCCCCCAGGAAGTAGCCAACAAAAGAATACTTTGTCCCCTTCTCTTTTATCTGTCCTTGGCGTCTGGAGTGAGGGTCAATGACCTAAAAGCCTCAGGTGTACTGAGAAGCTCAGGACAGGATAGTTGACTTGACTGATAACACTGGTGGAAGCCACTGATAAGGAGATCCACATACCACCCCTGCTGGAGTTTCCAGACTGCTAGGGGACTGACTTGCAGATGGAATTTTCCATCCCCAAAATCCCCCTTTCTCCATACTTTAAAACCCCACTACCGTACTGTGCATGTGCATACTCCAGGGCCAGCCGGCGACTTGCACTGCTCTGATTAAGGAACAATTCTGCATCTGGGGATGCTTGTCTCTAGCTCATTTCCATGTGACCTCTGTGAGTCCCTATCTGACAAAAATATCTTACTTACAAATACGAATCTAAATCTGAAACATAAACCCTAAATCTGTAGAATTAAATACAACACGGAGTACCAGATGGATTTTAAAAATATTCCCCCAAAACAAATCCCTCAAACAAGTTCTTGAGTGTAAAGGAAGAGAAAATAATTCTTTAAACATTCAGGAAAGATTTTTTAAGGAGGCTATATGACACCGTGTCCTATAGAATATGACTAAACTAAAATTCTAACTTTTAAATTGTGATCAATATTATAGCTGGGAAAGATGCTGTTCATGTACAAAATCAATAGGAGGATGTTCTTGAACTTGGAAAAATCTTAGGTAGTTTAAAACCATGATATTAGCCCACAGATCTTGAGTGAGGGTTTTCCAAAACAAAGGGAGTTAGTAAGCTATTACCGATGACAACCAGAAAGGAACGTGGTCAAGGGACTGCTTACCAGTGGTCTTTCATTCTACTGGAATAATATTCGAGAGCAGGGAAAGAGTAGCCCCTCTTAGAGTTAGCAACTACCCTTCCAGCAATGGGAGCTAGCAGCCCTCGACATCTCTCCATTGCTCCCACTCTTGGACCAGTCCACAGACAAACCATGGATATGTAAAACAAAACCATCCAAAACATATTTCATTTGCTAAGGCAGTGGTTCTCAACTTGCCTTATGCTGTAACTGCTTAATACAGTTCCTTGTGTTGTGGTGACCCCCAACCATAAAATTATTTCATTGCTACTTCATACCTCTAATTGTGTTACTGATACGAATCTGTGCTTTCCGGTGGTTTTAGGTGACCCCTGTGAAAGGGTCCTTCGACCCCCCCAAAGGGGTTATGACCCCCAGGTTGAGAACTGCTGAACTAAGGGGAGAAGAATGCCAACTGTATAAACAAAAGGTGACCTTACACAAAGTGCTCTTCCTGCTGACCCAGTTTGTGAAAGCTATAGACCTCACTTGTCTGGTGTTTTCCAGAATGGTAGGACTGTTCCTGAACATGAATGGGTAGGGCTGCTCTTGAACTTGAATGGGGAGATCTGAAACTTTTGCACAGGGCAGGATCATCTAAAGAGATTATGGGATATTTGGTGCTATCATGATGTCAAAGGGAAAGAAGAGAAAAATAAAGAGAAGAAAGGAAGGAAGGAGAGAAGGAAGGAGCGACAGGGAAGAGAGGGAGGGAGGGTGGGAGGGAAGGAAGGAGGAAGGATGGAGAAGAAGGGACAGAGGGAGAAGGGATGGAGGGAGGACAAAAAGGAGGAAAGAAGAAAGAAATGAATCTCTTTGACCTTGCAAGATTAGGTCCTTCTGCCTTTCGACGACTTCCACAACCACCACCAAGAATTCTACAAAGCAATGGAAAGTAAAGGCTTTGTGTGGTATTACACCCATAGCCCAGTACTTGCAATGCCAAGGCGGAAAAGTTGGTGCAAGTTTGAGGCCAGCCTGTCTTGAAACTACAACAACAATAAAGTAGGAAATTGTTAAGAGAAGCTTTTTCCTTGCTAGCCGCTTTGGTTTATCCCCCGCCAGTCGCCTGGGCTCTGCCGCGCGAGCCTGTTTCGAGATCCGCATGAGTCCCAAATAAACACACAGGAGGCTATATTAATTATGAAGCTGTTGGCCTTGCTTGTCCCTTACTGGCTAGCTCTGCCTTAAGTAATTACCCCATAATTGTTAATCTAAGTATGTTTCTTACCGGAGAATAGTTCCCGGCTTCCTACCCCCATGGCGTCACATGTCGACTCTCTTGTGTTTCTCCTTCCCAGAGTTCTCCTGGACTCCTAGTCCCTCCTATCTAGGTTTCCTATAGGCTCAACAGTACTTTATTGACAAATGCACAGGACTTCCCCCAACATCTCCTCTTTTCTGTTTAAACAAAAAGAAAGGTCTTAACTTTAACAGTCAAATTGTATATAACAGAACAGTTATCAAGTAAGAACATAGTTACAATATTTTAGCAAGATTTAAAGAAAATATCATCTACCTCTTTCTTGTGAATCCAAAGTCCTATATGTAGCTTATCTCTTATCATAACTAAGGTAAACTATAATTATAGCTATCTGTCTTCAACTCCATCAAAGACCACAGAAGGATAATATATAAACACTAGGATTGACAGAGACATCTTACTGCCTGGACAGTCACCCGAAGTTCCTCTGTAACGTTGGGACATCCATCTTCAGCCCATAGGCCACAATGTGTCTGGAACACTTCTCAGCAAAGCAGGAAATTTCAAACTGTCCATCTGCATTGGCAGTCTGTCAGTCATTTTTCTTTGTCCTGCAGACAGTCTCGTAGACTCTTCATGAAGCAGGAACCCTGTAAGACTGAGTTCAGTAGTCACTTTCCTGTGGGTCCTGCATGTCCAGTTTATACAACAGCAGTCAAACAGTCTAGGCAAGAGCAGTTTCTTGCCCAAATGGCTAATCTTGCCATGTTGAAAGCAAACTCCATAACAAGTTTCTTCGATGCCCATCTTCCTCTCAGATATAATTGGTGCTGCCAGGAGCAGACATTTCTCATTGTCAAAAAAACCCTAGACCATTTTAAATGCCATGTTCTGAAGGTCTTTCAGAGGTTTGAAGACTGTCTATCTGTCTCAAATATATTTCTGTATATCTAGAAAACCTAACTTACCTAACTATAAATTCTATTATAAGTAACTATCTATAGTCTGTATTCAATTATGCATTACATTTTAGAAGATCAGTATAAGCACAATGCTTAATCAAGAGGAGAAATATAAACATCACAAAATTGACCTTGAATTTGTATCAATAAATGAAAAGCAATACCCATACCATAATTCCCCTTTTACCATTAAAAAAATTGGCTGTGATCATTAGCCAATTATAAACAATCCCATTTAAATGAAAACAAAGATTTATAAACAAGATGGGAATTGGGACGTCGCTCATTCCAAACTGCTTCCTGCTGGAAGGGGGCGCTGTTTATACCATGGGGATCATGACAAAACTCAGAAACCTGTATAAGTCCGTATTTTCGGGGTCTGTAAAGCTCCATCATCTTAACTGTCTCAGTCGTTGGAACACCTGGTCCACTGCTTCCGGGGGTCTTGGTTCGTGAAACCACAGAAGCCTGGAAGGAATTCTCAGCTTTTCATTTTCTGTAGAAACATAAGCAAAAACTCCTTTTCCGAGTAACATATCCTTATACTTAAATTTTGAAGTCAAGTCATTTTCAAAAGATAGAAGTTGGATTAATTTAGCAGCATTTATAATCAAGTGTACTTTAGCAGCTGTTCCTTCCTTAGCAATCAAAAAACTGAAAAACATAATAGCGTACAGTATCCAGACTCTCTGTGTATTTTCCATCTTTACGTGGCTTATTTATTTATTTATTATTACTTTATTTATTTTTCTTTGAGACAGGATTTCTCTTTGGAAATCTGCCTGCCTCTGCCTCTGCCTCTGGAGTAAATCCTACCAGCGTGCGCCACCACAACGCCGGCTTTTGTATTTATTTACCACTTTGCCATTTCATTTTCTCTCTCAGTCTCACGTATATTTTTAAACACACTGTAAACCTTTAGAGGTTTTTCTTCATTTAAGTCTGACTTTACTGTAAATCTTTACGTTTTTCTGGCCACGTGTCTTATCTGTTAAAACCACGGCTGTTTTAAACTGCCGTTTCAAGATGGCGGGCGTAAGCGTGACTCGAGCTTACCGCCTCAGTCCATGTTGACATCCAACAAAAGCTGCCACTTCCAGCTGTACGTACACCCCTTTTAATCGTTAGCAGAGTCTCTTAAAACAACCTTGCTGGCTGTTTTTTTTTTTTTTTTTTTTATGCTGAGTCAGGAAGACTCCGGTAAGTGAGCCACGTGAATCTCGGCTTGAGGCTAGCAAAACAGAGCACACCTGAGAAAATGCTGCTACCAAAATCTGTGCTTCTCTCTGTTCTTCTGTTTCTAAAATTCCTTTAAAGCTTTTGTTATTCTGCGTGGAAATTCATCATCCCACTCCTGATCACCATTATGTTAAGAGAAGCTTTTTCCTTGCTAGCCGCTTTGGTATATCCCCCGCCAGTCGCCTGGGCTCTGCCGCGCGAGCCTGTTTCGAGATCCGCATGAGTCCCAAATAAACACACAGGAGGCTATATTAATTATGAAGCTGTTGGCCTTGCTTGTCCCTTACTGGCTAGCTCTGCCTTAAGTAATTACCCCATAATTGTTAATCTAAGTATGTTTGTTACCGGAGAATAGTTCCCGGCTTCCTACCCCCATGGCGTCACATGTCGACTCTCTTGTGTTTCTCCTTCCCAGAGTTCTCCTGGACTCCTAGTCCCTCCTATCTAGGTTTCCTATAGGCTCAACAGTACTTTATTGACAAATGCACAGGACTTCCCCCAACAGGAAATAAGTCCACAAGGCCCAAGCATTTTTAAACAAAATCTTGAGAAAGGTGAACAACTTACATTGAACCCATGTAGGTCACTCATAGCAAGGTGGGAAATATTTAAAGATAGGAACACAGCCATAAGTACTCCTGTCTGGGTTGGTTAGGTTAATTGTCCAAAAAGTTCTCTCACACTCAGGAGTTGTCTCTGACGTCCTAAGTCAAGGTGTCAACACGTGTTCAGGAAGGTTGGGTGGCCTTTGGTTGGGTTGGATCTCACATGTTTCCCCAGATCTGACATTTCCTAATAGCTTGGCGCTGTTAGGAAATGGTAGAACTTTTAGAAGGTGGGGCATAGTGGAAGGAGGGTTGTAGGGAGAAGCCTTCCCACCAGCCTGGTTCCAGAGCCGCATCAGTCCCAAATGTACACACAAGACGCTATATTAATATGAAGCTATTGGCCTTGCTTTTTTCTTACTGGTTATCTCTAACTTAAGTATTTACTCCATAATTGTTAATCTAAGTGTTTCTCTTACGGGAGAAAGGGGTCCGCACTTCTTACCCCTATGGCAGCTACATGATGATTCCCTGTGTTTCTCCTTCCCAGGATACTCCTCGACTCCTAGTCCCACCTATCTTGCTTCCCTATTGGCCAACAGTGCCTTATTGACATATACACAGGACTTACCCATCAGAAGGTAGTTAATTGGGGACTTGCCCTTGGAGGGGAGATGGGGTCTCCAGTCCCTGCCTGTTTCTCTCTGCATCCTTGCCACCATGAGGTAAACAGGCTCCTTCAAGGACAGAAACCCCTGAAGTCAAGGAAACCTTCCCTTCTATGATTGACTTTTTCAGGTAGGTTTCTTGCCAGTGCCAGGAAGCTAACACAACCCCCCCCCACACACACACACTTACACTTTCTGATTATTGCAACTAAATTTAGAATGTTTGAGAAAATTTATCAATTTTTTTTCCTTAGGGAATAATGAACTGCTTACAGTGAGATCTAGAAAACCATACTCAAGGGAGCCTCGCAAACAATTTAGGATTGTAGAAGGGGAGAAGGGGATGGCAAGAAGACTCTAAATGACATGGAAAATGTAAAAGTATAATGAGCAAAATCTACAGCAGATGAGTTTTGGAGAGACTGAGACCTAGTGACTCCAGCTGGGAAGGTAGCTCGGTGTGTAGAGTGCTTGCCTAGCATGCAAGAGGCCCCGGGTTCTAGCTCCACCATAAACATGGATGTGGTGGGGCACACTTGTAGTCCCAACACTCCAGAAGTAAAATCAAGAAGATCACAAGTTCAAGATTATTCTCAGTGAGGTCAAGGGCAGTGCAGGTTACGTGCGACCCTGTCTCAAAAGAGAAAGGAAGCAGGCAAGCAAAGTTAGTAATTTCCTCATCCCCCAAGCAGAAAAACACTGGATGGCACCTGAAATTGAACTGTACTAACTTTAGTTTTTTTCATTAGCTCTCATTGTTTCCTCTGCTCCCTCCCTATTTCCTTTCTTTTCTATGGATAACTCTTAACTAAAAATACTTTTCTTTCGATGGGAATAATAATGATTTTTACTGTGAAAAATCATTGAAAATTTTGAAAGTTTACTTCGGTGTGCTTCATTTTCATTTTTTTAAAAATTCTGTCAAGTGAAAAGGAAAAATTAGATTATATACTTTTCATTTAAAATGGCATCTAGGCTGAGCACTGTAAGACACACCTAAAATGACAATAGTCAGTAGGCTGGGCTAGGAAGGACACAAGTTCAATGCCAGCCATGACTATAATGAGACCCTATCC